TAGTTTCCCTGGTGTTGGCCAGAGTGGCCACCAGGGAAACCTGGGGAGGGCTAGCCTCCCACTAGTTCGAATTAAGGGGCTACACACCCCTTAATTCGGACTAACTAGTTCGAACTAGGCTTAATCCTCGTAAAATGAGATTTTCCTAGTTCGAACTAAGCGCTCTGCTAGTTCGAATTAAGTTCGAACAAGCGGAGCGCTAGTGTAGCGCCTATGAAAGTTAATTTGAACTAACGTCCGTTAGTTCGAATTAACTTTGTAGTGTAGACATACCCTATAGGATTGACATTGACAAAATATAACTCTTTTCTGCTGGAGGTGTGTGGGGTTTCGAAGGGCAAACTGTACTGCTCATACATCAAAATGAAGGGAGGGAAAGATGGCAGCATGGGCTACTTTACCACTCTTTTTGTAAGGAAAGTTGTGTGCCCTTGGTTAGTGCATGCTGCCACTCCCAGTATGATTGTGCCTCTTAATTTAGGACTTTGGTGCATGAAACAGCCTGAAAAGAAGTATGGGGGGGGCTCATTCTACCAAACACGTTTGTATTTGTGCTGCTGAAGTGAAATGGGCTACCAACTTCCTCCCCTTCCTTAGAACAAGTACAAGCAGGATTTGGCCCTACATTGTGAATAAGGTGTCTGATGGCTAATAAAAAATATATGGGAAATGAAAGTTAGAAGTGGAAAATATTCAGATCAGAATGTGCACCCATGAGTGCACAAAAGTGGTAGGGCTGGCCTCAGAGAGCATTTTTCCATGTGCTCCTGCGTAGCAAATACTGTCTGTTGAAGCTCCAGGAGGTAAACGCCACCGAAACAAGAAGTAGGTGAAGAGGTGGCACACAAGTCTAAATCTCCTCAGCATTAAATCCCCTCCAGTGCTGTGGAGCTATTTGATGCATCACCCTGTGAGGCGGTACAAATGTTGCGCTATTCCAGACTTTGTAAGTCCTGTGGAATAGGGTGGTACCATGCTACACAAAGCAGTTATGACATACCACAGGGAGTCTCCGTGCATACATAAGTAATCACAAACATCTAACTGATTGGTAATGTTGTACTTTAACTTGTTTGTGCAGGGAATCCCATTTGGGAGTATAATGATAAGTGATTTAATACAGTCAAGTACAATGTGTATGGCCTTTTCTATATAGAATCAGGCACAAATATAGTACTGCAACTCACCCTCAACCCATTCTTTAAAAAAACAAAAACCCAGAAGTAACAATACTGTCATCTCCTTATGTCTTACTACTATTGCTTATTTTTCTTCTATGATCTTTTTCCACTTGTGCCACATTGATTTGCAAGCCTCCAGGGATGAAATATCCTTTAGTAAGGATTGTTGCACAGTAACCTATCTTGTTTCATATTTAGGAGACAGCAGCACTTAATTCTATCTGTACAGAAGGCAGACTATAGAAGTGTGAATGGCAGTGTGCATGAAAGTGCTGATCCGTAACTCCGTCTCATGGACACTGCAAGTGTGAACTAAGAAGTTCCTCGCTCACTAATGTAGGACTCTTCGAACATGACTATGTTAATGAGAGAACTTTTCAGTTCAACCCTGCATACATGGGGGAAATACAGTGAAGAATTTTGGTGCACCCTGATAGTCACATCCCTGTAACCCAAACTATAGTGCAATGTAGACAAGCCCTTAGTTTGATTCTGTCCCTCCTCCCTCAACTAACAGCTGGCCTTTGTCTTTATCTCAAATTCTTTTCTCCCAGTTTACTTGATTTCTCCTGCTTCCCTTTCCACTCTCTACTTTGTTCTTCTGCTGTGGCACTGTTATGAAAAGAAGATTTTATCTACCACCCACAATCAGAAGAGAAGGAGGAATTCTATCCTTTCACATGAACAGAGATGGGAGGGATAGCAAGTGGGAGTAGAAATATTATGATTTCCTTTCCCTTTTACTTCTCTCATACAGTGTTTCAGAGAAGAGAAAGATCTGGCAGCTGGGTCTTTTTCCAATTCATAGATTGACCATTTTCAATCTGCCTAAGATCAATTCTGATATTCAAGACATTTGCATAGCAGAAAGTCTCACAACCCTATAAAGTGGGAGGTGTTACCAATAGGGGAACTCCTCAGTTAATGGTACTGAAGGCCCCAAAGCTGGCTTTCATCTGCTGACACTGCTTTTGCAAAATAAGAGCCCATATTTTGTTCCAGGAGCATCATTTTCTGAATGACCTGGGGGTCATCCACTGATTTTAGTGGGATGGGGGAACTTCTTGAAAAATATTAGTGGCACAATATAACCCACTGATTAGTCTAAAATTAAACCAGAAGAGACTGAACCTTAATTTAAAAATAGCCAAACTGTGACAAATACGTAATCTGAATTGTATTCAAGTTTAGGCAGACTTACACCTACCTTTCTTTTCTGTTTTATCAGACACTTTCCCTCCGATTGGTGAGTAAGTGGTATCCATGGACTCCGTGCCCCTGTTTCCTTTGCTAACTCCGTTTTCATAGAGTTGCCCTTCAACAGGCTGCAGTTGCCATGTTAAGCCAAACAAATGTACTGCTGTAAAAAATGAAGACCAATTAATTTATTCCTAAATTATAGCACCTTTCATTAGACTAAGAGAAAATGTAGCCAGCCCATTTCTGCAAAAGTCAGGTACTATTTGTCTCTGCTTAGAATAAATCAGAATTCCAAGTTTCTAACTTTACTCTAAAATGAAATGTTTTATTAATTACCACATTTTCTTTTGGACATAAGCCAATTAGATAGATGATGAATTTCTTCAGCAATTAATGAAAATGCTTGTAATAAAAAAAGATAATGGTTGTGCGAATAAGGTATTTTATGACAGATCATAATGTTTTTACAGGTGTTATCTATTTCAATGGACCACAAACCCTGTCCTTTTGTAGGATTAATATAGTGCCACAAAGTAAAGCCATTCACCTTATGCTGCCCACTTCTGAGTGACATTCTTCCTGTTGTGTTCCCAGATCATTTTCAGCCAGCATCTGCCTAATCATTAACAAGAAATGAGTGTGTACATGCACACCTCCCACACAAAAAGGCCAGGCACAATTAGATCTGGAGCTCAAGGGAGAGTAGGGACTTCTCCCTTCCTAATTCCCAGTAGGCTCATCCTAAAGTGAGTGTGAAAAGGTGGAGGCACACAGCCATAAAAGAATGGGACCAACCTACAGGAGAAACAAACTATACTCCACAGGAGGGTAGTTAAAAGGCAAGCTCTCTCTGTGTCACAGTGAGTTCCAGTGTTCCCCATGAGATTTCTATAACTGACATTGTTGAGGTCTCTGAAGTGATGGATGTGATAAGTGATAAAGAAAATGTACTTAATATTCTTCTGTATCTATTGGAAAGATGCACAAATTAGATTTCACCTAGACCTAACTGCAACTAATGTCTTATGTGAACAGAACTCCAGGACTCATCAAGAAGATGAAATGTGGAAAAGGTCCATAAACTTTGTTGAAATTAACAATAATTATGTGGACATACAATGGCCTCGGCCAGCAAGGCCACAAGAAAGTTGTACAACTAATAAAGTGCAAGGTACAATGGCTTAAACAAACTTCACAAGTCTTGTAAAACCTGTTTTTAAGACTCACCAGCCATATAGCCATAGCCAACATGATGCCCCAAATTCTCATTTCATTTACCTGATAGGGCAAGAAAATTTAACCGATTTATGGATTAGATTCTGATCTCGGTGTATAATTGCAATAATTTCAAGTTAAACATCTCTAGTCAGGCCCAGGGGACCTGACTGGTGCTGAACCAGAGAATTAGCCAGACCATGTGAGGTCAATATTGTCTAGCAGCATTACCAACACTTCCATTGCTGGGCTCTTAGAAGACATTTAAGCGTTAATGAAAGCTAAATAGCAGCACAAAGTACTGAGAGCCATGCCTGCTGGCTGTAAATAAACTTTATAGAACTGTGGGAAACTTGGCCACACCCATGACAAGTGGGCATTGGGCAAACTAAAATCAACTAGGACCACGGATACTGCTGTACCAGAGAGTACTGGACTAAAGAGGTTCATTTACATTAATGTAAATTCAGAATAAGTTCATTGGCCTCACTCTGGATTTAGGCTTGTGTAACAGAAATCAGCCTATATGATCAATATATATACAAATAAATATAAACTGAGGTACTATAGCAGATATACACTCTTAAATTGAATTTCCATGTTATTTGCTGCTATTTGATATATGTCACAAAGCAGGAGCTGAATGCACAATGTATGTTTTTCCTTGTTCAATTTCTTTTTAGATAGACAACATTATGCATTTTGTCAGCCATTCTTGCCAATTAACCTAGTTTGCTTCTTGTTTTGTCTTTCCTTCAGGCGAGGGAAGTACTGTAGTTTTTGTAGCGCATGCCAAAGCTTGGCAAGCTAGCTGAACAGTTTGTGTGTTTCACAGTCTGTTTCCTTCCTGAAAAATACCAACTGCATTATAGAGATGATGGCTTTTGCCAGCCTTGGACTCCCGACGTGTAGCCTGTGGGAGATTGCATGCGATACCACTAAGCAGGTTTCACATTGAACATAAGGCTGGATGTTGGAACAGCAAAGTGCAGCACTGAGAAAATAAGTTCTTGAATTAAATTAAATTACTCCTATCATTACAGAAATTGGTTATCTTGTAATCTTAAAATAAACCCAATTTTCATTACATTAATCATCTAGTTGGCATGTGTTAACTACAGTTCTTGGACAAATTGCCTTCAAATACAGGTATTACTCTGGTAATAACGAGATTACATACAGCACTGGTAGCTATTCATTCTTGGATAAGAATATTCAGGAGATCACAAAGGGAAGTAACAAATATGTATTTATCATTCAGTGCCTTAGCTCATCTCATATTCAACAATATTTTTCTTTTCTCACAATTAAAATATAATTTCTACAAAATGCCTTTCTGCTTGCCCTAGAATAGTGGTACAGTATGCATGATAAAAACTACATTTTATTTTAAATATACATACATTTTACCAAATAGAATTCAAGAAAGTTTGCTCTTTTAATTTTCTTTCAAACATCTCTGTAAGCTCATGAAGTTCCCTGCAGAAGGTGAGTACTTGATGTTATTAAAACACTGCAAAGGATGCATGCTCTAAATTTTGTAAACTGTGTTTGGTCCTATAGGACTGCTGGGCTGAGGAGATGGTGCAGCGCTATGCACTCTGCTTTATCTCTTTCATACCACTTATAAGCAGCCAGTAAGTTGTGACAATATGGATCTCTGGTATCTCCACCACAGGGAATCCTTGATGGCCCCTTTAGGATAACTTTCTGGCTGTTTTGAACTAACTCAAAACATCCTGTGCCAAGGCTCTGGCCCTTTGTTTACAAAGCAAATAATTGGAATTATCTATTTTGCTCAACTTTTAATCAAAAGGAAATTGACATTTCTAGATAAGTAACTCGTGTCTTGTAAGTTCGCAGCATACTCAGGCAAAGACTGAGAAATACACAAAATGGGCTTTTTCAGATTTCATCTTGTAAACCAGATTATCCCGCACCTTTTCCTTATAAAGCCAATGATCTAAATTTATTTGTATCTACCTTCTGTGTAAGTACAGCTTGTCAACTTGTGGGCTGCAAGTGTAGTGTTATATGAAATGTGTGGTTTGGCTCAAATACAAATACATACACAAAATGTCTTTTGTTTTGCTTTCCTTGCTATTTCTATTTATTTTAGAAAATCTTATTTTGGCTTCTTCTATTAGCTCTAGGAATGACAGTAGCTTTGACAGAATGGACAAGATCGACACTCTCCAGCTACCTGAATAGTATTTATTTTCTGCAGTTGCATGCTGGTCCTGTTTATAATGTTGGATTTCATCCAGGCTCTACAGTCATGATGTTCATTGGTGTTTGTGATGATGTGGAAATTTTTTACAATATTTTTATGAATCCTCAGTTTCCTGTTATACTTTCCATTGCTATCCAGTGGAGGACAGGGCATATTAACTTCCCTTCAGGGTGTTACTTCCCTGATTAGGTGGAATGAACAGAGTTATGGAACTGGCAGAGACTGACCCAGTCAAAAAGGGATCCAGGGAGACAATACAAGTTCCAATGACTCAGGTATTGACACTCAACAGTAGGAAGCTCCAGTTGGGGCAAGGCGGTGTGTGAACTCAGCATGCCCCGGCCTAGAAACAAAGGACCGAGTGTCCAGCAGGAAATAAAGTGTGGGCTTTGGAAGACGCTGAGGACTCTCTCACCTGGGAACTAACTAAGGAAGGAAGTCAGAGACTGAAAATGAAGCTCACTACAGCTTGGCTGGTAAACTGTGGTTTGACCATTATTTCTCTATGCTAACCTAAGGACTTCCAGTGCTCTGTTCTGCTTGACTAATACATTCTATTTTGTTTTGGGAAATGATGTTGCATTAGCAAATACTGGCTGGTGTGCATTAGTCCCTGAAGTATATTCTGTACCAGCCATGTATTTAAATTGGAGTTACTGAGCAGATCTCACAGAGTGGCAATCCCACTCAGTCTAGGAGACAGTAAGGCTGCAGGGTCTGCCCAGAAGGAGCAATAAGAGCCTTGGGGGGACATGGCACAGTAAAGTGGCTCCTCCAAGAGATTGTTAAAAATAGATACCGACTTTCTCATAACTGTTGTTCTTTGAGATGTGTTGCTCATGTCCATTTCAATTGGGTGATTAGTAAGCTCTGGTTTTGGAGGTGGGGTCGGAGCTCAGAGAGGCAGCAATCTTCTGAGATGCCAGGAGTATATATGTTGCCAATGTCTCAAAAGCCAACCTGGAATAGGACTACAGGTTCTGGCCCCAGTGAAATGCCCAAGGAGTACAAAATGGCCATTAGGCAGGAAGCTGTCACTGACTCAGCCATAGTCCTGGTGAGAGATGGTATACTCTCCTACAGGACCTCAAACTCCTGCTCCTTCTGGTTCTGCAATAGTAGGACTGTGACCCAACTCCAAGGACTCTGTATAAGACAACCCTGGAGGAATGGAACATGCTGGTGCTGGATAGCAATATCTAGGGCTAGCGGACTGTTGCAGCTCCCCCGCCAGCACGCTTATGAATGGTACCTGTGACTGGTGCTGAGGAAATGGTGATTGGCTTATCCCTGGATAGCACTGGGGGATGGAGGGGTCTCATCGATGCTTCTGAGGCCGACAAGGGCATCCTATCCAGGCCTGAAGGGAAAGGCAGTGCCTTCAGGGCAATGAGGTCTTTAGCCACATTGAGTAATTCCAGCATTAATGGCAGGAGAGTGCTGGGGGGTCTGGACTCAACTAGTAGGTTGACAGGACCCTCGATGTGGAGGGCTGAGTTCACGTGGCCCAATGTTGGTCTCACGGCAATGGATTCCTTTGGTGATGTTCGTTGTATGTATGATCATCCCCATGGGTCTTTACTTTTTGTGAGGCAACAGAGAGTGAGAGGTGCTGCTCACTGCCCTATGCTGAATCCTTACGAAGGGAGCTCTGCCAGTGCCCAGAGTAGGTTCAACTGAGCTGGAGTTTGAGTGGGGATGTAAAGCAGCCC